GGAGGAGTAGTGCTCTCTATTCCCACCACCACCACCACTGTTCCACTGCGACTGGTACTGCTTCTTCGGTAGATTGTTCCACTGCTGTCGCTGCTGAAACAAAAGAATAATCATTACCATCCAAACAGAATACCCTCCAAACAGAACACAAAACATACCTTATTCCCACTTCCTCGGCCGTGGTTGTGGGCGTTTCGATCGCCTCCTCCAGCACTTGCCTCACCTCCTCCTCCTCCTCCGCCCATCTCACCCTCGGGCCGATCAAAGCCGAGACCGGGAATGTGCGCCAGGACAATCTCCTCCTCTCCTTCTGCCCCACCGCCATTTCCGGCCAAATTAGAAGCGAGCAGGTGCTCCTCGTCGTACTCCGCCGCCTCCTCAAAGTCCTTCGGCAGCAGGTTGAGGTTGTACTTGTCGCGCATGCGGTCGCCCGGTCGGTTACGGGTCCAGAATTTACTGCGGAAAAAAGAAAAAAGAGGAAAGATGATCAGCTTATCAAAAACATACCCAAACATTCCACCTCTTACCAGGTGTGGTCATTGGAGCCCGAGGTGAGAATGTGCCCCAGCGGGTGCCAGTTCAGTGACCAGACGATGGACTCGTGGGCCTGCTCCATAGCGCCCACCTCGCGTTCAGATCTGAATATAAAAAACAAACAAAAGTTATCATAACAAAACAAAGACTCCAAAAAGAATCCTCTCGCCTACCCAACCAGCCAAAAGTTGATCGACCCATCCGAGCCTCCACTGGCAAAGAGGCCCTCATGAAGCGGGTGCCAGGCGAGGCAGCTGACCTCCTTCTTGTGGCCCCGGAAGCTCTGCATCTCCGTGGCCATGTTGCGAATGTCAAAGAGCTTGATGAGGTGGTCGCGCGAGGAGGTCAGCAGCCAGTTGCCATTGGCGTTCCACCTCACGTCGGTCACCGTGTTCTTGTGGGCGTGTCTGAGAAAAAAAATCAAGAAAGAAAGGATTAGAAAATCGAAATCATTTCGACAACAATTTCCCCTTACAGCGTAGCGAGCGACTGACCGCTCTTCGGGTCCCACAGCTTCACCGGCTGCTGGCTGTCCTTGCTGCCCGAGGCTATGAGCGCCTTGGTGGGGTGCCAGTCGACGCCCTTCACGTCGGCGCCATGGCCGCGGAGGATCCGTTCCTCGTAGCACCGCATAAAGTCCCAGATGCGCACGGTGCCGTCGTCGGAGCAGGTGGCGAACTTGCTGTCCGTCGGGCAGAAGCTGGTAAGGAAGGAGAGGAAAAAGAGAGAAGAAGAAGTTTGAGTTCAGGTGGGTGGTTCGATTTGGAAAGCTGCTGTTGTTGTTTTGCTTTGCTTTAATCCTATTCTAAATGGCCCAAAATTCTGTTAGCTTTCTGAAACCAGCAGGACGAGAGTTCTCATCTCATCTCGGATTTGAAAGAGGTTTTTATAGTAAAGTTGCAACAAGGTTTGTGCTTTGCAATAGTCATCAATTCCTTTAATTGCTTTAATCATCATTAGTTCAATTGCATCACAGATGTGTTTTGATTGGTGGTGTGGTGGAGGTGGTAGTAGTGAAGGTCTTTTGATGGGCGCTAACAAATCGACTGGTTTTATGATATTATTTAAAATAAAAGAGAAGGCAACTGCGAGCTGAACGAGGCTAGGTTCTCTAGCAAAAGTGGCTAAGTTATGTGAAGGAGAATTAATAGCTGTAGTAGCACACCTGATTGCACGCACCGGCTCCTTGTGAGCCTGAAACATCTTGACGTTGTTCATGTTGCTCTGCCAGTACTTGACGTAGCCCGTCTGATCGGCGGTGACCATCCAGGAGTCGTTCCGGGACCAGACCATCACCTTCACCGCAGAGTCGTGCGCCTGAGGGGGAGGAGGAGAAGGAGAGGAGAAAGAAATTGTCAGTCAGTTGAGTCTTGAGCTTATCACACACAGCAACAAAAGGTAAACAAAAGAATACGAGTAGTAAAACAGAGAAAAGGGGGACACTGACCTGAAGGATGGTCTCAAAGTTGAAGGTGAGGCCGTTCCAGAGGGTGAACTCGCCGCTGGAGGCGCCGGTCACCAGGCGGCGGCCCTCGGGCGTCCAGAGGACGCAGAAGATGGGGCAGCGCATCTTGTTGGTGGAGGTGCGCACGAACTTGGTGGTGATGCAGTTCGTCGGGTTCTCCTGCATGTACATCGGCGGCACCATCTGACAAACGACGACGACAATGATCAATCAATTTAGAACATTTCGAAATCCCCTTTCAATCTCAGCCTTACCTGTGTGTAGTAGGCAATGTCGGGTTGGAGTGAAAGTGAGGAGGGATCCCGCTGCCAGAGCCGGTACTCCAGCATCTTCAGCACCGCCGAGTTGTAGTCGACCGTCTTTCGTGCGACGGCCTTCCGCAGGCGCTTTCCATCGTAGTGTCCACCGGCGGCGCCGTCGCCGTCACCGGACGCCCCTGCACCCGACGCCCCCGCCCCCGCCGATGATGACGTTCCGGTCCCTCCTGATCCGGCCCCTGAAGTGCCCGAAGACTGGAAGGCCTTGGAGGTGGGCGCCGCCGGGCGAGGCTGAAAGACGTAGAAGCTCGATGGTGGGCCGCCCTTGCCGCCGCCGCCGCTGCTGCTGCTTAGGCTAGGATTGTACGGACGGTTGAAGCTGCCACCGCTAGCTGAGGGCATGTTGCTCAGTCGGTGATGACCTCCGGTGGACATGACAAGTCCACGGTGGTGGTGGTGAAGAAGATGATGAAGAGAAAGTTGAGATCACAGATAATATCGTCTTGATGGTCGTCTTCTGCTTTTTATTAGTTGTTGTTGTTCTTCAGACGCGCTGCTGCTGCAGCCTGCAGCCAAAGTGTTGGCCAGATGTTGGGGCCGGTCACAGAGGACGTACAGCTGGGCGGCGTGTTCAGAAGGCCAGTGGCCAGCGAAGACAGAGAGTACAAAGGAATGCGCCTCTTGTTTTCCCTCGTTCCACTTGGAACAGACCGGCGTCTTTGTTGCAAGCCCTGACTCTCTCCTCTCTCGCCCGGAACACTCTCGGAAGCACTTCTTCGCCACTTGAGCACCTACTCAAACACTGACACTTTCTCCCGCTTCCTACCTTGACCTAACCTTTGCCCTTTCACCCTCACCGGTTCTATTTGCCTGCTCTGACCAGAGGATTCAGCAGCAACTTCGAAAGCGGAGACGACACACCTCTCACAAATCACAGCAGCAGACTGAGTCATCGGCAGCGACGACGACAACGGCTCTGGGCATCAACTGTCATCATCGTTGGAGGGAGACTGCTGGAAAGCAGAGCCATCACCACCACCACCACCAGCCATCCTCGTCAGTGACGGCCACTGTCCGCGCTTTGAGTGAGCAGCAGAGAGTGGACGCCACGCCTACGATAGCCTGCTACAGCGCCACTGGAGAATAGAAGCGCTAAGCGAGGCGAGCAGATGATTGCTGAGCCTGCTGCTGTTGCTGCCTTTGCAGTGTTGCCTTCTCTTCCACTTCTCCCTCCCTGATATCCACTTACGTGTGCCGCTGCAGCCACAGCCACAGCCAAAGCCAAAGCCGACATCGACGCCGGAGCCGCCGAAGAACCTCTTCGCATCACCACCACCGCCACCACCATCGACCCTTTGTTGTTGACTCTCTTTTGGAGCGATCAAGAAGAACAAGAGACAGCATCCACTCTCTCACTCTCCCTAAGATCACCCCCTGCCGATCTTCGGTGTGCTCTACGATCTTGCCTCATCATCTTCGAGACCAGTAAGTGTCACCCCGGATTGTCAGTGCTCTTGTTCTGCTGTTGATGGTCACCTTCGCTTGCTCAGTCACTCGCTCGTTCGCTCACTCACTCCTAACTCGCTGCCTGCCACTGTCGTGTGTTTGCCCTTATATGAGCAATCGGCCGCAACAGCAACAGCAGCTGCTGTACAGCTAGCTCTCATTCAGCGGCAGCAGCAGTTGTTCAGCTATCGACCCCACCACCACCACCATCGCCACCAATTGCATCCTCTCTNGGCCGCAACAGCAACAGCAGCTGCTGTACAGCTAGCTCTCATTCAGCGGCAGCAGCAGTTGTTCAGCTATCGACCCCACCACCACCACCATCGCCACCAATTGCATCCTCTCTTGGGCAATCACTCACTCAATCGCTCTGTATTTTCGATTGACGTCGAGCTCTCTGACTATTCCAGCTGCTGCTGCTGTCAGCACCTGAAAAGAAGTAGCAGAGAGAGTAGGGAGTGGTGAGAAGAGAGTGGTCAACTTCACTTGAAAGAAGAGAGCGTTGGGTGTTGTTACTTCGAGCAGGCATCAACTTACCATCACCATCCCCATCATCACCACCACCACCACCACTCATCATCTCTTGTTTTGTTGTCCTCCTCCCCACAGATAGAGCCGCCA